GAGGCAAAGGTCCTTGTTGTAAAGATCAAAGCAATGGCCAAAAGGAAACTCTGGTGGTGCACAGGGGATGGTGCACAGAGATGGGAGAGGTGTCTGTGAGCAGGAGCCTGGCTCAGCCGCGTGGCCTGGCCCAGCAAAAAGCCTCATGTGTAATTTTAATTTCATCTACCCATCTTATGGAGATGCTTTCTTCTCCATAAACAACTGATTTGAGAGAAGGGCACATTTTTGCCAGTAGACAAGTGGAAGGCTGATCACTGCTGATCAGCCAGAGGCCCTTTCAAGGGACTTTTCCCTCCCTTCCTTATCCTATAATTGTTCATAAAAACAAAGACATAGTTTTGTTTACCAAAATCCCCACTGATAGCCTCAGACTGGTGTAAGGAGGTTATTGCTGTGCCCAGCTAACCTCTTGCAGCAAAGAAAGTGCAAACATGGCCTTTATTCTGTGCATTTCCTGGAGGAAAGGGTACTGGACAGGAATTCAGATAAGAAAATTCATGTTGTTGCTGTTCTTCATATTCTGTGAAGTATTTAATGGGGATAACAATACACATTAGACATCCTGTTCAGTAACATTTTTAGTACCCAGCTGAGTCCAAATATAAACTATAATGGCATATGGAGACTGTCTTAAGAGCCATTTCAAATCAATTTAGTTTTATATAGCGTCTCTTCAAGTCTCTCAAGGTGATTTACAGTGAAAAAGCAAATAGTGGGATAGTGATTTAGTGGAGTAAGGCATGGCAGCTGTCAGGCAGGAAGGAGAAAATGCTGCATGGAGACGTAAAACTCTAATTTAAAAGCAGTACAAAGGTAAATATATCGCTTTGCTCTTCCAGTACAAGAAGCAGTCAGGTAATGAAGCCAGGTTGGGTTCAGTTTAATTCAACACTTCAATGGAGCCATTTACAGATGGAACTGGACCTAAAACTGAACCTTTTCCACTCAACTGCTGAGATTAGGAAAAAAAACAGGGAAGAAATATTTGTGACCAATTCATTTTACCATCATATTTCACAACCTCAGAAATTTCAGACTTCCTGTGGCTTGGACTTCTGCCCTAGGGGCTTATGAAGTCAAGAAGGCAGCTTTAAGTGTCTTTTTCATGGAAATTGTTAAAGCCTTTTTTAAAGAAGCAAGACTCTAGTCAGGAAACCATGACCTGGCTGGTGTGACAACCATTGTGCTGCTCCTGTGCATGGAGGAGGAATAATTCTTCAGAGAATGTTTCCCTCAGCTACAGGACACCCTTCCTGTGGGTTTTTTGCCCTCCTGCTCACCCCTCAAGCAAAGCTGCAGCAGAAGCCATGAAAACACTCATATTTTGGTGTTCCTAGTGGGGAGATCTCACATTTCCCTCCCACCAAAGAGCTCGGAACAGGCTGTTGGATGTGGCTGTTTCAGTGAACTTCAGGCAAGAGAGAGGGAATGCTACTGACTTCCTAGGGCCTGAGTACACAGGACCCTGGGACAGCTCAGCATGGAAGGGACCTTTGAAGATTTCATAGGAAAGGGAGCCTAGATGAGATGATCCAGTGCCCAAGAGCATCCTGAAAACCTCCAGTGATGAGGACTCCACCACACCCTTAGGGAGGTTGTTCACATGTACTTCTTCTTTGAGAGGCCTAAACCACCCACGTTTCCTTCCACCCAAACCACCCACGTTTCCTTCCACCTAAACCACCCACGTTTCCTTCCACCTAAACCACCCACATTTCCTTCCACCTAAACCACCCACATTTCCTTCCACCTAAACCACCCACATTTCCTTCCACCTAAACCACCCACGTTTCCTTCCACCTAAACCACCCACGTTTCCTTCCACCCAAACCACCCACATTTCCTTCCACCTAAACCACCCACATTTCCTTCCACCTAAACCACCCACGTTTCCTTCCACCTAAACCACCCACGTTTCCTTCCACCTAAATCACCCACGTTTCCTTCCACCTAAACCACCCATGTTTCCTTCCACCTAAACCACCCACGTTTCCTTCCACCTAAACCACCCACGTTTCCTTCCAGGTGCCAGCGTTTGTCAGCATTTGTCACTGCTGTTGCCTCTAGGTCAGGGACATGGTAGAAGCTTGACCTGCTTGTCCACCAGGACTAAGATTTCAGTTTTCCAACAAGCAGGTAGGGGCTGTTCAGGATGCCAAAGCTGTGGAGAGCCTGAATTGTGATCACTTGAGAAAGTGCCTCCTTGCTCCACCATCCTGGCAAGTGCAGGGTTTGTTGAGTGGCCTCAGGGCAGATGTCTCACAGGCTGTGACTTTGTGAGTCACAAGGGGCTGGGAGTCCTGCTGGGGTGTCTGCTCATCTGGGAAAGTGCCTTCTCTTCCTTTCTGCTGTGCAAGAAGTGTATGTTTTATTAAATGAAGTGCATGTTCCCTATGCAAATGAGCGCCCTTTGGAATGGTGATACACTGACACGTTTTATGTTAAATATGTATGCCCTTTAAAAACTGAAGCAAGAGCTAAAAATCATTTATAAATATTAAAGAGCAAGAAGTCTACTTTTTGTTTTCACTGTGTTTCTGATCCTGCACTCTGGGAAAAACACTCCTCACATTATAAGACTGAATTATCTGTCCAAGAACTAAACCTGTAATTTTATTCTATCAGTCAAGCTGTATGTCACGCTTTTTTGTATCAAGACAATCAGGTTCTTTGAAGCACAGACACACACCTACTTAAAAGAAGCTTTCGGCTGAAAGCAGAAGACTCCAGAAACAGCAGCAATTTGTACCTTTCAAGGGACTGATAATTAAATAGAGAAATGCTGATTCCAATGAAAAGAAGGTTTCTTTGCTGGCCAGGATGATGTTCCATTAGGACATTTGGGTCCAGATTCATCTGCTTGGACTGCAGACATCAGTCTCCTTTCAATCATTGACTTCTAATGCTTCAAATGTGTCCTTTGGAGATACTTATTTCTCTTTCTTGACAAGAAAGGACAGTAGGCCATCTGCACTCCTAACCTGACTACCTTAGTTAGGTATCTAAAATGAAATTAAATCAATCCAGGCCTTTCTCTGGTTTTTTAAGTATTTGTTGCATGGGACACCTATTAGAAAGTCAAGTATTTAACCCATTGTCACAGCATAGTCACCCTTGACTCCAGGAAGTATTTTCTGCTATACAGGGTTTCCACATCCCTCTGGGAAGAAGCAGAAGTTTCTCATTAAGGAACAAAAGTGCAGCAAGACCAATGCAGACATTAAAGCACCTCCAGCAGGGAGGCAGTTTTAGACTGCAAGTGAAGGAGAGTAGCTCTGTGTTTCACAGGATCACAAAACGGGTGATGTTGGAAGGGACCACTGGAGGTCATCCAGTTTCCTTCTGCTCAGAGTTGTTAAGGTAACTTGCAAATACCAGAAAAGTCTCAGGACAGACTGTAAATATGCTGTGCCAATTTTACATACTGAGAAACCAGGTACACAGGTCAAGTAAGAAGTCCAGGGCACGGCAGAGAATGGAAACTCCAGCTCTGGAGTCCCAGTATTTTTCCTTCCTGTAACACCACCGTTCTTTGTTGATGAAGAAGCAGCAGTTTTCAGTTTGGTCTTCACTGCACATTCACTAAATTATTCCATGTGCTTCTGGCTGCACCATGGATGGCAGGAGAGCCACTGCACAGCAGTGAAGGGCTTTTGGAAACCTGCAGCAAGACTGGCTGAAGTGAAGCAATGCTATCCTCCCCTCACTTCACTAGCTCTGCTATCAGCAAAATGCCTTTCTCCCTTTCCAGATGGGAGCTGGAGCAGTGGGAAATATTTTCCCTCAGAGTTTGTTGCTCTGTTGACAGGAATTTTAAGACAAAAGGTCATTTTGGTGGATTTAAAAAGCAGTGGAACTTCATGCCCCTAATGAATGGGCAGCAGGAACTCATACTGGCAGTGCTCAATGGCTGCACATGAAACTAGCCAGGCCCAGTAAATGAAACCAGATCCCAAAATGCAGCCTGAGATAACTGAAAGTATGCATCAAAGTTTATTGTAGGAAAATAACTGAGTGGAAAAAGAGTGGTCTGCTCTGCCCCTGCACCTCCAAAACATATTGTAACATTTAAACCCTCTAGAAAGACATCTGCCAAAAATGTGATTAATTCTCCTGAAGGTCAAATGTATTACTTTTGTAAAATAGTTGAAGCAGCAATTGTACGTCTTTGATTACTCTTACGAAAGCAACTTAGGAAAAATCCCAGGATGGCTCTTGTGTTTGAAGCTGCTCTTGTGTTTGAAGCTGGATGTTTACTGCTTACTGGCAGTGACTTGTGTAGCAAAGGTGAAATGTGGCCAGGAAATGATTGTAACCCCCCAGAAGGGCTGGTCCCAGAGCAGCCTGTCCCAAATTCCAGCAGCACATCCTGTGTGTCTGTTTGGAGTGCCACCCTGTGGACTGCTGCTCCCATGAGCTCCTCTCCTTCCCACGGCCACTCAGGACCCACCCTGGACACAAGGGTGGGTGGCAGCACCTCTGAGCTCCCAAGCCCTCTGTCCCCTGGTGGTCCTGAGTGTCCCTGCCCAGCCTGGGGAAAATGGGGCTGGGGGAGGAGGGGGAATTTTTGTACCAAAATACAGTCTCTGCTATGAAAAACCATTTTTGCCTGTGCTTTCTACACAACAGAATATGAAATGCCACCACCACTTCTGAGCTGGATAGGAAATGATTGTGGCATCTGTTGGTAACAGGTCTCTTGTATTACACCCCCAATGCAGAGCTTTGTACACTGAGAAGAGACCAGAGAAGCCCCTCTACTCACCCACAGATGAATTAAGCCCTTGGTAAGTCAAGTTCATCCTTAGAAGTAAATTTCTGGATTGCATTATAATTTTTTTTCTCTCTGACTGTTTGTGTAAGACTTGCAGGTTTATTCACTGGAGATTGCCACCATAAATTTTAGGAGTCTGGCTTACAAAGCCTGTAACAACCTTGTTTAGTAAAGGTGTGCCTTGCAGAATTCCTTCAGTAATGCCACTTTGGCTGCCCCTTACCTCTGGGGTGAGGTATTTCATCATGATTTCCTTTCCTTTCTCTCCCAGCTTTTCATCTGGAGCAATTTCATATTCTGCCTGGAACAGACATATAAAAAATAAAAGTCAATATTTGCACTCATATTTCACCATTATAACTTCATTTTGGATGTGGCCTTAACAAAACACTCTGTATGAAAAATCTGAAGGACAAATATCATTTTCTGGTGGAAGTAAAACCTGTACACACAGTCTTATTAAAAACTTTCCACTATATTTTGACCAGACCCTAGCAGCACATCTTCTGTGGCTTTGTCTCTTAATTAACACCAATACCATTTAATAATTTATATTTTATAACCTTGCAAAGCCAGCTTTCAGAAAGCATTCAGTGACAAGAGACATTGGCTTAATTTGGTTTTGCTCAAAAAGAAAGTGCACACAGAAGGTAAAATTATTTCTCTGAGTGGTAGAGAAAGTGAATATTTGTTAACACCTGCCACAGTGATGTTTCAAGTGCCAACTGATATATATATATATTCTTCCATATATTGTCTTTTTTGTTCAATGTGTCTTTTCTCTGTATTTATGCCTTGACCTTGGTCTAACAATACCTGTGCAAAGCAGAGAGACTTGCCCATCACTGTTAGTGACCCTTGGCTCAGTCCCTCCTGGTTTCTTAGGCAGATTTCTTAGGACCAAGAGGAAACAAGAGAGACCATTTAAAGGAAGAGGCACCATAAGCAAAGCTCTCTTTGGCTTCCCTAGTGCACTAAAAAAGGGAGCATCCCATCCTCACACACAAAGTCTACCTACATTTTAAAATTCTGACTGCTCTAGGTATTGAAGCATTACTGACTTCTGATGAGTTTTGTTTACAGTAGAAGCAAGAGAAGCACAATGTGTGTACCATGAAGATATTAATCACTTCAGCTAAAGTTTTGGATCCATGGCAGACATTTGAAGGAAACACGTGCTGCAGGGGACCCCAGCGGCTAAATGACAACAAGTTCTTAGGGACATTCCTGCTTGGCAATGCTTGGGATTGGAGATGAAGCTTTAGCCTTCAGGTCAAAATATTTTCCAGAATTAAATAAAAAATAAAAAAAAAAAAGAAGACAGCCTAACAGCTTTCATGACTGTATTAAAAAAAGGATCCCAGAAAATCCTGCCAAGCCAATTAAATAACCTGGTCCAATACAAGCTGTCTGTGATGATAAATGAGGAGGAAGCTTAAAAAAAAAAAAAAAAAGTAAATCAGACTGAACTGGCAAACACTTGGAAGAAGAAATTTCAGAACTATTGCCCACTGGAAGATGTATGTGCTGCTCCAGGCTGGATGCAATAAATCTGCAGGCTGGCTGTAATGGATACCCCAGCTAAGCAAACCCAGGAATGACATGGAAACCACAATGTAGTAATAATGCTATTCCCCTCCTATCTGGCCAGTGCTCATTTAGCTATTGCAGCTCAAGTCTGGAGCTGCATATTTACACACAGGCATGGCAGGTTGCTTGAACAATCTGGAATTATGATCTGATTTGGTCTGGGAAATGATAATGGCCACAAATAAAAATGATGAAAAAACAATCAAAAACTAAAACCCACAAGTACAGTACTTCTTTTTAAGTGACAGTTTTGGGGATGAAACTGATTAGGTTCTCATAAAACTTAATTCAAGGGTTTAAAAAAAATCTTTTATCTAATTTCCTGTACTTTTAGATGGTATCTGAGTATGGGTCATTTCAGCTTGTAAAGTACAGAAACTCTGAAATGCTTAGAGCATCTTAGCAGCATTTTTCTCCATGATTTCTCTCTCCTTCATTTGCTTTCAAACTCTGAAAATATCTCCCAAGCAAATAAAACCTGATTATAAGTCATCATCTCCTATTTGAAGCGAACCAGGGAGCTGTTGAAAAATTTGTTGTCTTTTTTGCCACACATAACCTCTAACAGTTACATCCCATCAGAACTGTACAACAGGAAACAAATCAGGACAGACCAGAAGGCAGAAACTCAGCAAGAACTGGATGTCTTAAATCCCATTCCTGATGGGATCCAACATATGCAGAGCTAAATGCACACCTATACATGTACAGAGGATCTTGTTCTGCCTCAAGATAGACAGCAAAGAATAAAAGGAAAGTTTAATTACACTTGCATTTGACATTCCCAGGAAATGTGACACGGTGGCGGCGAAGGTGGGAAGTGACAGACAAGTGAGGATGTGAGAAGGAACCATAAGCTCCAACTGTGCACAGTGTTGATTTCACTGCAGGTCTGCACTAGAAGCCTGTTCCATTTTGTCCCTAAGCTCATTATTATTTCTCCCTTCAGTGCCATTTTTGAGCTATTCAGCAACAGACCCTGGTGCATTTCCAGCCATGACCTGTGATTAAAGCAGATAGACAGGGATGTCCCCATGCTCTCTCTGCCACCTGCCTGGGAAGCCACCAAGGTCCTCAACTCCTGGTCTTGTGCTTAAATCACAAGATACCTCCCCTTCTTTCCCAATGCTCAAAAGCACAGTTTGCAAGTCCCTAATTGCTAGAAATAACATCATTTCTTATAATCCGCGGAACAAACTATTTTCCATTATTGCTTTGATGAATCCAGGCATGTGTTTCAAGGCTCCTGCTCTGAAGTCTAATAGCTTCTCCATGCCCTGGTTAGGTCAGACAGGGCCCTATTCATGGGCCATAAATGAGGGGAGGATTTACGATCACCCTGCCTCCGTGGGACAAGCTGCAGGGAAGGCTCCTTCTGTGGGCAGGCACAGATCCTCCAGCCCAAATGGTGAGAGGATGTGGGCTGGCCACTGTCTGCTGCTAGCTTTTCTTCTGGCTGCTCTTTTGGAGGTAGTAGTTATGCTGGTGGCTCCTTCTTCCACGGAGAAGCCGCCGTGGCTGGATGGAGGAGTGGGAGTGCAAAGCATCCTTCCCTTTGGAGCAGCTGCCCTCAGGATGGGCTGAGAGATCAGATGGAAACATGCTCTTCAGCTGGGAAAGGGAGCAACATCCAGCCTGGCTGTGGGGTGGGACAGCCACAGGCTCAGGGACAGCTCAGGTCTGGGGGCTGGAGGCTGCCTGTGATGGATGGAGAGCTACCAGGGCAATGGCACAGGGACCCCACAGGGGCTCACATTGATTATGACACATCAATTTTGTACTATCTGATTTTCACCTAAATATTATTTGAGCTCCTGAAACTACACGGCTAAAAATATGTGAAAATGGAAAAACACATCCAAAGAGATCTCTCTGCACATCTCAGAGGATGCTCTCCCACAGCAGCATGGCATGGCTGAGGGAATCATCACCCCTTGTACCCACCAGAAGATGGAGATGGGAACAGACACTCCCTCAGAGCAGTTTTGGCTTCCTGGTAAAAGTCAGGAACAGTGGAATCACCTTTTGAGTATCTGCAGGAGGTTACTGGCATTTCAGTCCCAATTTTTCACCTCTATTTTCTCAGCTCCCTCCTCTGTTATCTGAGAATATCTCTCTGCTCAGTCTTTTCTCAGACTCCAGGCTCTGCCCTGTTATTGCTCTGCCTGTCCTTGCACTTGCCTCTGCTGGAGATTTAAAATCTGTGACTGAAAACTGGAAGGCAAACCCCAAACAGCTATTCATAATAACTCACATTCCTAAATGAAAAGTGAACTTGAAACCATATTTTTCATATTAAAGGCAAGGCAAAGAGAGCCCTTTCAACTGTTTGAAAACACATTTTGAGTTAATGAGTTTGTTGATACCAACAAACTGGCATTTCTGATGGGGAAAGCCTTGAACAGCTTTAAGACACACATACACAGATGGTTTATATCCCACAAAAGGGACTTAACCAAATGAAATCTCCCTAACAGCAAGACAGGGTTTATACAAATGGCATTAAATGGATGCTCACTCATCCTTTCACTCCAGGTAAGTGCCATGTCTAGTGAAGCATTCAGCTGAAAAGTCCACCCGAGGAGATTGTGCCTCTCACCCTGGCCCCTGAGCCCAAATATCACAAGCAGAAACAACCTGGAGAGGCAGCAGGGCTATTTTTGTGTGAATCCAGTGCAAATAAAGTAACCTTGTTCACATTAGAGAGAAAATAATGACAAAAATTGTCCACGTTCTCCTCCAGCCAACCTAAATCTGGTCGACATTAAATTGTTAAAAGCCCTCCCTTGGAAAAAAAAACACATTATGAATGTGAGTAGATGAAGCAGGAAAGGGAGTTTAGAAGCTAAATATTTCATTTTAATGACAAATAAAAATCACAGGAGAGGAGAAGGAAGCGTCAGGGAATGTGCTGATGAGAAGGGGACAGGAGCAAGAGGTCCCTGCTGAACTGAACTGCCACCTTCTTGTGCTGGAGGCACTGGCTGTGGAGAAGCAAACACATCTTGCTAGCCCCTTGCCTGCTCACTGATCTGCCTTGTGGCACAGCAAACATTTCCCCTCACACTTTATTTTGATGGCTCTCTTTCAACAGCTCCAGTGTTGCTAAAATATTCGTAAGCAGAGCACAGCGCGCTTCAGGGCTGTGCGTGACTCCTTGGCTAAGGGCTTCTAGAGGAGCCCATTTACTCCCAAACCATCTCCATCTAATGATAACAGCTGGTGCTCACACAGCTCCACCATGTGAATGGCTCCATCAGGCTTTGCTGAGCCATTCAGGGAGAGCTCTGTGGTTCCAGACATGCACGTGATGCCCCCAGAGCCCCGTGGGAGCTCAGTGCGTATCTCATCTCAGCAATCAGGACCTCTGTCATGAGCTTGCTTGCACAATATCTGCAGCAAGAGATGGCTGTCTGTCCTTACAGCCCTCCTGCCAGCTGGGAGAAGGGGCTGCTGTTGCTCCATTTCCCAGACAGACAGACAGACAGACACACACACACACACTGACAGGCACTCACTGGTCCCACAGCAGCAGTGGCAACCAAACACCCACAGCTCCACCAGTGCTGTGCTGCAGAGCTCTGCATCTCTTTGTTCTTATCACTGTTATCATCTAAAGCTGGGGCCTGCTGCTTACAAACCACATGTCGTGTTAGTCTGGGCTGCAATCGATTGTGACTAATTACCCAAACACTGCTCTCACAAAACATGGGGAGACTTTATGCCTCTGAGCATTTTCCTCTCAATTACTGGTTGAAATTGGTCAAGGTATTCACAGGTCTCAGAGGGAACTGACAGCTACATGCCTACATGCATGCAGAATTCAGTGATACAAATCCTTTTTCTTCAGAAGGCAGCTTAACAACTGTTTAACAGAAAAAAAAATCCCCAAATCCTGCCATAATTACATTTGCAGGAGGCTACATCAGACCAGGTTAGTTATTTCACATAACAGCTGACATAAATGTCCAGTCAGGAGAGGATTTTTTTTGTCCCTACATATTCTGGTCTGCAAGGTCTGGATGACTCCACCAGCCTTTGGAAGCAAAGGTGTGAGAGAGCTTAGTCTCTCACAAGGATGTTGAGAGGTTGTTAAATGTCTGACTCAGCTTCTGGTTGTCTCCCAGAAGCCTCAGTCACTTCTTTCCTTGCAGACAGTTGAGTTCATGACTTGAAAAACTGAATAAAATATTGAGAGGCATCAAGTACTGGCTTCTGCCAGTGTCTTACTGTGCCACCTGGTAAAGTCACTTAGATGGGCACTGGAAAAGAGAGGTGGTCCTCCCTTTCAATGTGCAAAAAGCTCTGTGAGTCCCTCAAGAACGGCTAAATATTATCCCCTTTTATCTTTTCCCTTTATTTGACATTATACAAAAGGTAATTTTTGCATCTCATGTTAGAAAAACAACTAAGACAAAAGAAAATGAAGGATCTTGGCTTTTCCTGCTTGTTACAGCAGGTGGTCTAGAAAAGGTTTTCCATTCCTGGTGGTCTCAGATTGGGGCTGTAAATTCAGACTCCTGGTCTCATTACAAGGCTTTTTTTTGCCTATCATAGGGCTTGGCTTGAATCCCACTACTCACTAAACACAGTGTGACCCCGCTGGGCAAATTTCAGTAGCAATCATCCAATTTAATGGCAAAGGGCTGTGTTGCTTGACCTTAATATTGCCTAATGCAGGGTTTTTCATGGGCTGGGAGCAAGCTTACACAGAATAATAATATTTGAAATCAATAATATTTGAAAATTTGAAAATTTAAAAATTAACAGCAGTCTCCTTTGTTTATTGATTCCAAATATTTAAAAACTGATTCAGACTTTATCCAACACTTTTTGTGATGCTGTAGATGTCCTGTTGTAATGCAGGAGTAACATAAACCTTAAGAGATCACATGTCCTCTCCAGACTGTTACATTTACAGCTTCAGTGCAATCCTCACATTTCCCTGTACTTCAGAGTAGCTTCACCCTGGTGCAAACAAAACAATTTTATTCCTGTTGGTGTGCATTGTTCTGCTTCTATCAGTTACCCGGGGAGCGAGACCCTGTGGGCACTCACAAGTGACAAGTTCATCTTGTTCTTTGGTACCTTTTCACCTTTTGGCTGATCAACACCCTCCCCTTCCACGTGTTCCCAGCAAAAGAAGTCACAGAGAGGCTTTTCCACTGTGAACAGCTGGCAGGACACATGGCCAAGTGCTGCCAGCCTGGGAAAGAGCGTCAGGTCCCCCAGGGCTCGGGGGTGATGCTCAGTGGCTGGGTTAACTGATGGCTCACTGGGGTGGAAAATGGAGCAGATTTGTTTCTCAGTGACCTCAGTCAAGTTATTTCTGTATACTTTGTGCCTCTGTTCTCCTATTTGAAAAAACCAGGGTGGTTATCAGGGTGTCCTTTGTGAAGCATCCTGAACTCTATGGATGAAAAGCCTTGGTAAAGGATATTAGGATTATTACATTCCCCATCCACTCTTGTCAGTCCGTTCTCAACTTCCCTTTCCTCCCAGTGCCTCCCCATCAGCAGACATTGCTCACAGCAGCTCAGCTGCTTGAGTGTTGACATGAAGGGAGGCCACAGCAGCACTGTGGGGGTGACTGTCCTTACCCTCTGTGGTGGCTCATGTCCCTGAGTGTCCCTGTGATGCCAGTGGTGCCAGGCTGATGCTGGGGCCAGCCCTGCCCACTGCCTACTCCAGCAATTCAGACCCAAAATCCCACAAAACAGCGATTTCTCGGGGTCAGATGAGTCTGCTCTGCCACAGGAACATTGCAAAGCACCCCAAAATACCACAAGAACTGACTTACCACCGAGTCAAGGAACCTAATGCAGCACTCGAGCTCGGGCCGAGTCTCACAGAACTGCCGAAAGAGGAGCCTTCCAATGGGCTGCTTTTCACATATGCTCCAGTAATCTCTCTCTGGAGGCAGGAAAGAGAAGAACAGAAGCATGAAAATGAGAACAGCTCTGCCTTTTGGGTTGCTCACGAGTTTAAAGCATTGCAAGTGAGTGCAGGACTACAACCCCAAATCACAACAACCTCTTTCTCCCTGCCACCATGTTTCAGGTATCCAAATACAAATGTAATTAATGGCTTTAGGACTCAATTAAGAGAGGCTGAATTTTGTTGGGCTGGTGTTGGTAAAGGTCAAGCAAAAGCCATTCAGCTACTATGAAGAAATAATTTCACATTTTTCTGTGGTGGAAATGCATACAAAGGTACAGCTCAGACTGGTGGTATTGGTGGGAATGTGGGGAGCAAATTACAAGTCCTTGAAATATGAGTCATACATTAAAGGGCAGAAAAAGCTGGAATTTGTGGAGTCCTTCCTGGATGCTTCCTAGATATGCACTAAAGTGCTCCACATCTCTGGAAATGCTTAGCCTACTTTCTATTAAACAATTATAGTAAACTGTGCATTTTCAAAGGTTTCAAAATTTCTGCTATTTAATTGCTGAGCATTAAGGAATGGATAGAGCATATGGCATCTGGCTCAGTTCAGTTTAACACAGCACTCCTCACAGAACTGTATTTCCCCTTAAAAGCCATGTTTAAATGCCATTCCTCTGTGCTGGTGCATCCACAACCATCACTCACAGTACAGCAAAAGGTCCTTTGCCCATCACAAGGACTATCAGCAGGAGAATATGGATGAAGGGCAGGCATCATTAACTGGCATGGCACCAGCACAAATGCCAAGGTCTCTGGATATTTTTCTGGTGAGAGCAGAAAATCCCCCAGCCTGCTTGGAGCAGCAATACTTGCTTGAGACACGTTATTCCTCTACAAGTACACACATGTCAAACAACATACTGTGTTTCCTTAGGCATTCTTCTCACCACCCTCCTCGCTGCCATATGGCACTTGCTGTTATTATGGAAACAACCAGCTTCTAAACACATAACACAGCACTGCAAACAGACATACCAAACCCACACGAGTTGTCAGTGCCTTGGCTATTTCTCTCTTGGGCCTGTAGTTGCCCCTTAAATGTCTTTGATTCCCCCTCTGCTTTGGCCCCCATGCCCTCTTCCCACTCCATGGATGCAGGTACATGTTTGTGATGGAGCTGCCCTTTGCCATTGAGGCACCCAGCTGAAGGACCTGCTCAACTCAGCTTGTGCCCTGGGGACCATGTTCTGCAAAACCAGAATTGCCATAGAATCATGGAATGCTTTGGGTTGGGAGGGATCCTAAAGATCACCTAATTACACATCCCCTGCCATGGGCAGAGACACCTTCCACTATCCCAGGTTGCTCCAACCAACCTGGCCTTGGACACTTCCAGTGATGAGGCACCCACATCTTCTCTGGGCAGCCCATGCCAGGGCCTCCCCACTCTCTGGGGACATTTGTCCTGAACAGAAAATGCTGTTTGAGGTGTTGGACCTCTGCCCTGCAGCTGGGTGACAGCGGGCAGGAGCAGCCAAGGCTGGCTCTCCTAAGGGGAAGGAGGGAGCCTGCCCAGTGCTGCACCTGGCTCTACCTCAGGAACTGATTCCTGAAGCACTTGGTCAGGAACTTGGTCTAGTGGTCACTAGAGACATGGGCTGGGGACAGCTGAAATGGGCTTTTAATTCAGTCTGGTCCTGCTCTGGCCTGCTCTTCTGAAGCAGTTGGGAACAACATGCCAGCAGCATTTTTTCACTGGCACTGCCATTCCATTTTGGAACAGGATATCACTCAGTCTACTGAGAAAACTGCAATGTTTTGATGCTCTCTCGCAAGCAAAACTGGATCAAAATCACTGTGTAAATCCTAACCTGACCTCCAGTCAATCTAATTATCAGCAGCCACCCCCTGGCACTGGTTTGTTTGCCTGAGCTGGAGCCTTCAGCATGGAACACCATGGCACTGATGGGTGTGGTAGGAAAGCAGCAGGATCCCTGGGACATGGAGCAGCCTTGGGGTGTCCTTGTGGGTGCTACCAGCTTGTGCTGCTTGACCAAGGGGCATTTTTAGTGAGAAACTGCTGGAGGGATGTGCAGACAGGTACAGCACTAAGGGAAGTGAAGGAGTCAGGAGAGTGGATCAGAACAGCCCTCACAACATCCCAGAGGCCAGCACGAAGCCAGAGGCTCAGCAGCCCAGGTGAGCTCTCCTGGGAGGTTTGGAGGTTTAACTACACCTCCCTGATGCTGGTTTCTGCTGCCTTGACTAACTAACTCTTGTGAGGGTATGAATAAAACATACACCCTGAATACCAGCAGCACACAGCCTGCCTGCTGGCAGGACTCAATCCCTCCAGAAGCCCCGACCCACAGCAAGATCCCCCATGCCAAAAAAAGAATGAGACTGTATGGATCCATAAGAGAGTAAACCAGAAAGGGACAAACACAACAATCAGCTGGTTTGCCCCATATTTTTTCTTGTACAACATCATTTGATGGACAGTGATAACTGTTGTACAAAATGCAATTAGTTTATCCAAGTTTTTATGACACAGTGACACCCAATGTAGCAGAGGATGATCTTCTACCAAAAGGGCCAGTGAGACCAGGTAAATTAGTGTGCAAATTGCACATCCACAACTTCATAGAACAGCAGGGAAAGACAACAAGCAGCTAAACACCACGACATATGTGGATAAACACAACATAAATAAGACATGAGCACAGACTTCCTCCTACTCTACAGAACTTGGCCAGCACGTGAGAAGGGTGACCCATTGGTAACGAGGAAAAAGGAAATACCAGAAATAATCTCTGAAAATGCAACAGCCAGAGCAGCTCCCTGGAGCCATCCACGCCTCCGTCATGTGCGTTGCACTGCTGGATGTACCAACACAGACAATAAACACACAACAAAAATGCTTTCATTCCTTGTAGGTGACACAAATTATTTTCTTAGGCCCTGATCTTGCTGTTGGCCTCTCTAAGACAGCTAAAGGAATCTGCACTCAACTAATTCTTGGGATGCATGGGCCCGGAGCGGACTAAGAAAGAAAAACAGGTCTGAGCTAAAGCTGAAAAAGGAGTGGATGGTTTTACTACAGCAAGAAGGGTTTTAGCAGCGTGCTGCACCCCAGAGATGGGGCCAGAGCACCCCGAGCCGTGCTCAGGAGCTGCTGCAGGATGGGGAGGGATGGGGAGGCAGGCGGGCACCGCAGCCAGGGGCTCTCCTGGGCTGGGGCTGAGCCTTGTGTCGCTCCCGTTCCGCCTGCCAGTAAAAACATCCATCCAGTTTCAAAAGTTTAAAAAATAGAAGGAATGATTTCCTGAGGAAATGGAAATGTTAAACACTTGGAAGTGAAACCATATGCTTATGATGATGAAGTGTAACTAAAACAGCTCTGAGAGTGATATCTTTGGTAGTCAGACCCTCCTGCCTCAGCGCCATCCTGTTTAACACCTGCAAAGTCACCCAAAATGAGGGTGAAAGGCTGGGTGGGTCAAAGTCTTGGGAAAGCAGACACTTCTCACTGACGCCAAACTCTTTATTTAGAAAATATCGCTGGCAAACAACGCACACATGCAAGTGAATTCTCCATCTTCCTAACAGAGCAACAACACAGATTAATATAGAAGAGGTATTATATAAAATGCCATAATTAACATTCATAAGATAAATAAAGATAAATAATGTTTATTCATAATTCTACTGACTCATTTTCCCCTTTACTTCATAGCTTATGTATTGAAATACTAATTTCAGGAGCAGCCAGCACAAAGAACACACTGAAATAGTTGCACCTGCACACGTCATGCTGTCACCATTCAAAGCCTATGGCCAAATTTGTTCCCAAACAGATATTTTGGTAAGGTTCTGAAAAATATCTGAGCCCACGCCTAAGAAAAATAGTCCTATTAACAAAATTTCATACCTGTCAAAACCTACCATTGATGAAGTGAAAAGCTCAACACAAGGTAATAGAGTTGCTGATGTCAAAATCCCCAACTTTCAATTAAAAGGGAAGAAAATCTAATATTTTAATTATATAAAAAAACTTCCTGTGCACTGTGAAGATTTTTTTGTCCTAATTTCTCATTTAAATACCTTTCATTTTTTTGGCTGGCTCAAAATATCACCTTTTGGAGAGAAACAGTGGTCTGCAAAGAGACCAGGTCCCCCCTTCTCTTTCACATTTTCAATCTACCTGTGGGTTTTGATGGGCTAGTGATGAACTAAAACACTGTGTGATAACTCTTGGCTGAAAATCAGTCTTTTATGATATTCAGTGTAAACTGCAGGTGTCTAAGTAAAACTGCTATAAAAGTTGCACTTCTGCAACTCGTTCTGAAGAGCTGCAAAGCCAAGCCCTGCAATCATCTGGTGAGGCTTCCTCCTGTAGATGTCTGTGGGGAGGGATGAGCTCAGTTTAAACCTCACTTTTAATGTCTACAAAAGCCAGGAACATCTTTTCAGCTCTTTGGTCATTTATTGGTGTGGCCAAGGATTGTATTTATGCACTATCTGTTAAGTAACATTTTATTTTCCAACATACTGGAATCCCAAGAGCAGATTTTCCAAAGGAATGCGTGGAGAATTGCCAAGAAGACATGCACCATGCTGCTGCATGGGAACATTTGGACTTGACCTCTGGATCCCTGCTATCCTTGGCATTAAATCAGATGAAAAATGAGTAAGACCCAAATGCAAAGCAATTATGCTGCCTAAAAAAGCCCCCACGAAACAAAACAACCAACAAACAAACGCCTGGAACCCCCAAAGAGGATGTAGGAAGACCTAATTGTTGATTTCCTGCTCATGCTCAGTGATCCAAGATCAGAATTCATCTTCCCTTCCAGATTTTTCCTCTTTTAGGTGAACCAAAACCACTCAGATGCTGTTGCAAGTCTATGATTTGTCTGCTGCTCTCTTCCTCTCACCTGCTTTGTCCCAGAAGAACAAAAGCACCCCAAAATTAATGGCAGAAAGCATTTGAATGGCTCAGTCCCTACACTCAAGCTGGGCAATAG